ACATCATGGTGGCTTCTCAAAATGTCATTAAGAACCATAATTATGATACCTTCCTTCTTAGTGGCTTAGGTCCATTCCATTTTTTTGGAAAATTATTCAAACCTCTTTTCTTAATCTATTGAGGACGCCACACTTATTAAAAAAAATAAGCTCTTCAATTGTAATCTTCAAAAATCACACAACTTCTTTATCAACTAAGCTCCTTCACTGCTTCACTTTCTTTCAATACTACAAATAAAATAAAGAGACTAGATAAATACATGATCATTCGATTAAACTAAAATTAAAAAAACTAAAAAAATATTAAAAGGTAAAGAAAATGCAAACTCTTAAAAACTGGGTTGACTCCCATGAAGCGCTTCTTTTTGAGGAGTATGCTTAAAGAAAATGCAAACTCTTAAAAGTCGGACTCCTTCCCACTCTAGAGAAACACTTACACTTGTATGCTTAAACCCATCGAATGTATGCCTTCTTTGATTTTTCTTTCTTCTTTTGACTGACTCTTTCTTCATGCTTACATTTCATTCCCTCTTTTTCCCTTTTCATCTTTGTGATCTTCTTCTCATCTTCCTTATGATCTTATTTATCATTTATCTCCCCTTGTTCATCCAAATCAACTGCTTCATCATCACTTTCTTCTTCCACTTGAGACTTAGATGTAGTGAATGCGAACACCTCAAAAGTCATAGAAATTGAAGCTCTTGGTTTAGAACATTTTACTTTTGCCACATGAGGTTTATCCCAAACCTTCAACACTTCCTCCATCAACTTTTCAATCTCTTCTAGCTCATTAAGACTTTCATCTTTCAAATTATTCATCCTAAGCACTTCATATCTTGGTATGTCATAACTCACTTTTGGATTCATTTCAAAAGTAATTTCTTCATCTTCCACTCGGACTGTGAGCTTTGAGTCGTGAATGTCAACAAGGGATCTTGCGGGACTCGAGAATGGTCTTCCTAAGATTTTGGGAAGGTATTATCTTCTTTCATGTCTAGAATCACAAAGTCAACCGAAAAAATAAATTTCCCAACTTTTACCAACAAAACTCCAATGATGCCACGTGAGTTAGTGATTGAGTGATCCACCATTTGAAGTGTCATCTTTGTGTTTTTGAGCCTTGGTAGACCGAGCTTCTTGTAGAAAAAATATGGCATAAGATTAATACTTTCCCTAAATCTATTAATGCATTTATTGAAGTGGAATTTCCAAATTCACAACGCAAGGATAGTTGGCTTGGATCTCATATTTTGATTAGCAACCCATTGATAATTGCAGCTGAACACAACTCGTTAATAATGATTGTGGATGCATTTTCGATTTGCTGTCGATTAGTAATTACATCTTTAGCAAACTTAGGAAGCTTGGCCATGGATTTAAGGAAACAAGTGTTAATAGAGAGAGATGGTACTTGCTCCATGAACTTCTTTTGTTCCAACTCGAGATTAGGCTTAATAGCTTGAGATGGCTGATATGGATATAAGGAGTAGAATTTTGATCATCCAGTTGCCACGACGTGGCATGGTCACCACAATGTGGTGAGTCGTTAGAACTCGACTCAATCTTCGCTTTCACCTTCTCTTCTTCCAGCTTTTGATCAGGCTGAATAGTAGTTGTAGTATGGATAATCAATAGATCATAATGAACTTATTCTATAGTAAAAATTACCATTACACGTTGTTGTGATTTTGAGTAGGGATTTATATGAGGTAACATCTCATTAACAAGTGTTGTTATTTGGCCTAGTTGAGTTTCAATGTTTTTGATGAAAGCTTGATGATTTATCCGATTAGCATTGGTAGTGTTGTGTCTTTTTTCAAAGGCTTCCATAAACCGATTAACGATTGAGTCAAAATCCAATTTCTCTTAGGTGGAGGTTGTTGTTTTTGGTAGTAGCCTTGTACGATTTATCTATATTTCTCGTCCTTTTGGTTCTTGGACTCGTCATAAGGCAACCACTCCTTTTCGACTTTCTCTAATCTTCATCATATTTTTCACCACTAGAATAAAACACTTGCACTTACTTATTCTTGTGCTTATCCAAATTGCAATCCTTTGATAATTGTGGCCCACGGAAATTATGACATTCAACACTTAGGGCATGTATAGATTGATCCAATTTCGTCATTCGCCTATCCATATTCTCTAGTTTATCAATTATTACAATAATGTTCTTGTTCCTAAGGATGAGAAAAAGGACCGAATCGGCCGGAACTGACCCAGACCGGGGAATCGGCCGCAGCCAAAATCTAGAACCGAACAGGCCCGGCAGTTCTACCGGTTCTGGTTTCGGGTCCGGTTTTTGCTGGTTTTTCGATTTTGGAACCGGCTACATTCAATTTTTACGAAACATATTTAGTCCATTTTGGAAGCCACTAAAAAAAAAAGAATGACAAGTTTCACCAACAAAAAAAAAAAAAAAAAAAAAAAAAAAAAAAGAATGACAAGTTTCACCAACATTCAAACATTCAGCATTCAAGTTTCACCAAAAACAAAAAAACAAGTTTCACTAACATTCAAACATTTAACCTTCAAACATTCACCAACAACAAAAAAAGTCTAATATGTGTATTCCAACATTTCTTTGACATTTTGACTAATTCACTGATCTCTTCCCCGTTAGCTTCAAGTTGTGTATAGCATCCACAATGTGTATATATAATACAAAAGAAAAATGTTATTACTTACTAAAATGTAAAAAATAATAATAAGATTTAAAAATTAAGATGTAACAAGGAATAGTGTATTACCGATAGCGAGGTCATCGTCAGCTAACACATCGTGCATTTCGTCGTAGTCATATATAGGCAAGCTACTCTTTCTTAGCCAATCTTGAGTGAATATTAATGCCTCCACAATCACAACGGACAAATTACTACGATAGTCGGTAATTACTTGACGACTGTTACTGAATGTGGATTCGGATGCTACGGCGGAAATTTGTATCCCCAAAACATCTATTAAGAAACAAATTAGTTATCAGTGTATAATACACGACACGAATTTATAAATTAAAAGTGTAAAATAGAGTAAAAGAAGGTCGATACCTCTTTCCATTCGAGCAACGATCGGGAACCGCACCGCGTTATTTTTCGACCATGTGAGGATATCATATCCTTTGTCAAATCCAATTGGGTCCTCATTTAAGTATCGTTGCAATTGACTTTCTGATGAAGTCGAGGGGAAACTTCCCGAAGTCATATAGCTTCCAAAGAATTCGTTTTCATTAGCAAAATTAACAACTTCTTCTGGAGTTTCTTGTTGAGACGATGAGGTCGTGTTTGACCTTTCCAAGTATGTCTTGAAAAACTTGTCCAGTTTGCATTCGATATCAATAACCTTTGCATGTGCTTTGGATTCAATCTCATCAACATATATCTTGTTATCTTTATTCTTGGCTTTAAGCATTTGGGTAAAAACAACTTTCATAAGCTTTAACTTGCATTGAGGATCTAACAATGTCGCAAAGAAGACATAATCACTTATAGTATCATAGTCACCCCAATATTTTTCATATTTATCTTTCATATCCGGTATGATAAACATAAAATCCGGGTTGGTTTCATGTTTCCTAACATGTTGCTCTATGTCTAGGATCTCCCGGGTATACGTATGGAAGATAGGCTTTGTTGAACACAAAACTTTTTCAGTTTTCTTCTTAAACTTTTCAAGGAACTCCATCATCTTTTTAATCATCTCAAAATCTGAATGTGATGGTACCCTTCCCACAGTTTACTGTTCTTAGAAAAAAAAAATTAGATTTGACAGCCTTCTTTGCGGAGCTTGTAACTCATTCAATTTTTAACCAAATCAAGCGTTTTTATAGTCTAAACTAAACTAAAAATCCTAATCTACATGTAGGAAAAAGATTCAGGTCAAAACAAGTTAAATTGAATGAGTTATGCACATTTGCACAACAAAATCAGATCGCGTTTTATTGCTGTTAGAAAAAAAAAAAAAAAATCAGATTTGACACCCTTCCTTGCGGGGCTTGTAACTCATTCAATTTTTAACCAAATCAAGCGTTTTTATAGTCTAAACTCAACTAAAAATTCTAATCTACATGTAGGAGAAATATTCAGGTCAAAAAATGTTAAATTGAATGAGTTATGCACATTTGAACAACAAAATCAGATCACGTTTTATTGCTGTTAGAAAAAAAATCAGATTTGACCCCCTTCCTTGCGGGGCTTGTAACTCATTCAAATTTTAACCAAATCAAGCGTTTTTATAGTCTAAAATCAACTAAAAATCCTAATATACATGTAAGAAAAAATTCAGATCAAAACAAGTTAAATTGAATGATTTATGCACAATTTAAATTTGGACAGATTGCTAAAGAAGTAAATATTGCTATTTTTAGTGCTGAAATATATTTGATTTTGTTTACCTTGATGGCTATATTCGAGAAATGCATCTTTCACATTGTATGTTGATCTTAGAAATTCAAAGGTAGAGTTCCACCTTATTTGAGTTTCACCACACAAAAACCTTTGACTTTCTATAGCCGCATCTTTCATGGCTTGTTTAACGGTCTTGATCCGTTGCGGGGAGGCTCTAATGTATTTCACCACATCTTTTAGCTTTTTTACATGATAAACTTCGTGTTTTAACCTCATTTTCACAACTAGGTTTATGATATGAGCCATACACCTAATGTGAAAATGTTTTCCATTCTCGTAAATACCCGGTAGTTCTTTCACAATGATGTTGATTGCCGCGTCATTTGTCTTGGCATTATCAACGGTCATCGCCGTGACATTCTTCATCCCCCACTCGTTTATGCAAATTAGAAACTCCCGAGCCATGTATTCAGCTTTGTGAGTATCAACCTCTCTAAAGTTGACTACCCTTTTGTGCATGACAAAATCTTCGGTAATGAAGTGGGCCGTGACAACCATATAATTTATCTTTTGACACGAGGATGTCCACGTGTCGGTTGTTAAGTGGATGGCTGTTTTGGGGTTGCTCAAATGTTTGTACAAATTCTGTCTCTCCATTTAATAGAATGACACAACATCACGAGAAATTTTATGCCTTGAAGGCAATTTCACCCTACCATTGAGGGCGTTCACAAATTCTATGAATGCCTCGTTTTCAATGAATTTAAATGGTAATTCCCCGATGGTGAAATGGCCTAGCAAGGCAAGTTGGATCCTAGTATCATCATGTTTCCATGTGTATACATGACCCTCACCATTAGGAGCTTTCGTAAATGACAACTTTTGTTGTTTGTTATCAACTTCTTTCGATATGTTATATGGATTTAACTTGCACCCATTAAAATGCTTGCTTATTTCAATTCCATCGTCCTCCTTTATCCATTCTATCTCGAAGTATTTCCAAACAGGAGCGGTACAATTATCTCTACCCTCACCTCGTCTGGTTGGGTTAATCCGGTCCCTTAACTCCTTTTGAGTTTTTTTTTTTTTTTTTTTTTTTTTTTTTTTTTTTTTTTTTTTTTGTTTTTGTTTTTGGGTTTTGGTTTTGTTGGATATTTTTGTTGTGTTTGTTTTTGTGGTGGTGGTGGTTTTTTTGTTTGTGTTGGTTTTTTTTTGCTTGTCTTCGTTTTTGTGGGGTTGCAAATTTTCGTTTTTTTTAAGGTTATTGTTCTTGTGGCTGCTCTTCTTAGTTTGATTCATCACTTGTTATAACATTTCATGCCGGTGTTTCTTTTATATAATCTTCTTCTCAATCTTCTCCATAATCCTATATTCTCAAAATAAAACATATAATAAGTCATATTAATTTTAAATGTTGAACAATAAATAAATAAATAAATAAAATCAGATTTGACACCCATTCTTTCGGGGCTTGTAACTCATTCAAATTTTAACCAAATCAAGCATTTTTTATAGTCTAAATTCAACTACAAATCCTAATATATCTGTAGGAAAATGATTCAGGTCAAAACAAGTTAAATTGAATGAGTTATGCATATTTGAACAACAAAATCAGATCACGTTTTATTATAGTTAGAAAAAAAAATCCGATTTGACACCCTTCCTTGCGGGGCTTGTAACTCATTCAATTTTTAACCAAATCAAACGTTTTTATAGTGTAAACTCAATTAAAAATCCTAATCTACATGAAGAAAACGATTCAGGTCAAAAAAAAATTTAAATTGAATGAGTTATGCACAATTGAATAACAAAATCAGATCACGTTTTATTGTTGTTAGAAAAAATAAATCAGATTTGACACCCTTCCTTGCGGAGCTTGTAACTCATTCAATTTTTAACCAAATCAAGCGTTTTTATAGTCTAAACTCAACTAAAAATCCTAATATACATCTAGGAAAAAGATTCAGGTCAAAAAAAGTTAAATTGAATGAGTTATGCACAATTGAACAACAAAATCATATCACGTTTTATTGCTGTTAGAAAATATAAATATATCAGATTTGACACCCTTCCTTACGGGGCTTGTAACTCATTCAATTTTTAACCAAATCAAGAGTTTTTATAGTCTAAACTCAACTACAAATCCTAATATACATGTTGGAAAAGGATTCAGGTAAAAAAGTTAAATTGAATGAGTTATGCATAACTGAACAACAAAATCAGATCACGTTTTATTGCTGTTAGAAAAAAAAAATCAGATTTGACACCCTTCCTTGTTGGGCTTGTAACTCATTCAATTTTTAACCAAATTAAGTGTTTTTATAGTCTAAACTCAACTACAAATCCTAATATACATCTAGGAAAATGATTTAGGTCAAAACAAGTTAAATTGAAGGAGTTATGAACAATTCAATTTTGGACAGATTGCTAAAGAAGTAAATATTGCTAATGAGCTAAATGCTAATCTTACTTGGTCATCAAAGTCTTTTCCAATCCAATTAGCCGGATTACCATCTTCAATATTGGCATCATGAATATCCGAGTTTCGGTATCTTGATGATGGTACATTTGGCAACCCATCCAAATCCTACATTGTGAATTTTACACATTAGTTATATAACAAAAGTACTAAACAAATTCGTAGTTTTGACAATCTTACATAATTACATTCATACTATAACAATAAACTAATCTAACAAAAATCTTGCATGTATGTATACAAAGTACATTGTTAAATGGAGTTTAAAACATGAAACATATTATATCTACAAGAATCAAGATCTTTTTATTAAGTAGGGATAAGAATGCATATATTTGGAATGGAGACAACAAAAGCAAAGAAAAAAAACTTGCATGCATGCCATTATTTGGCGAATCATTGAAGCATTGAAGCAAATATTGAAATATATAATCTTAACACATGAAATATAAATATATGCTCTTACTTGATATTCATGAACATCCATAGTTTGAATCATTGAAGCAATTAAAGATGAAAATCAATGAATGATGATGAAGAATTGAAGATCGATTGAAACTTGGAGATGGAAAGTTGGAATCGATGGAAACTTGGAGTTGGAGATGAAGAATTGAATGATGATGAAGAGATGTTGTGATTGTCGTCGATGGTCGCTAGTAGGGTCACCAGTTCGTTCGTGACTTGGGGAGTTGGAATCTTGGAATCATGATCTTTTTTTTGTTACGTCCGACTAAGAACTCCAAGCGACGACCCAAGGGTTTTATCTAGCCGAGCCGGTTCCCGGTTTTGGGCCGGTTTCAACTGCCGGTTCTTACCGGGTCCCGGTTCCAAATAATCATGAAATTGTAGTTAAGGTCCCGACTCGACCGGTTCCATCGGGTGCCGGTTCCGGGACCGGTTCCGGCCGGTTCCCCGGTCCTTTTGCTCATCCCTACTTGTTTCCTCCATCTCATTTACCTCTAGTTACATCTTCTCGTGGGTTATGATATGTACATGAGTAGTTTGCGAATTCTTCAATTAAGTCTTTAATGGTAGTCGGTTCTTCCTTTCTCATAGGTCCTTGAAACTCATGAAGTTGCATTGTCGTAACATTCACTCCATCATATAAAATGGACACTTCTTGTTAGATTTTTAGATCATGTTGAGGAAAACTGCGAAGAAACCCTTTGTATCTCTCCCATGCTTCATATAAGAACTCCCTAACCTCTTGTTGAAAATTAGCATCTTCTTCTTTAGCTTTGTGATCTTTCATGACAAACATAGTTGTTGAATGAAAGTGTCACGAATATTGGCCCAAGTAGTAACAAATCTTGGCACAAGTGATTTTAACCGAACTTTGGCCTCATTGGTAATGTCACTAAAGGCATCCTAAGAAAAAATTGTTTATCATGTAACATTTGGAACATTATAGTAGTTTGCAATGTCCTTTACTTCATCAATGTGTTTGAATGTGTCTACGTATTCTTTCCTAGGGAAAGGTATATCCTAAAGCATCGACAAAATGTGACCCTTGAGTTCAAACCTTCTTTCAACTAGAATCAAGGGTAGTACAATCCCTTTTCCATTATCCTCGCATATACTCTTCTTGTAATCTCTATAGTCATTCTCGTGATGTTAACATCTCTTCAACCTCGTTTTTTATGTTGTCGTCCGTATCACTCTCTATTCCTACCTTATAACCAATGCCCTTCTTATCAGGTGTACTCTCAAAGTGCATTAATTTGTCGATTTTGAAAGTGCTAATTGACTCGTTGACCTTCTTGTATTTCTTCTTATGAAATGATTATTTTGGATCTTGAAGTAGTGGGACTATTGGAGTTTTAGATCCTCGGATAATAAATCTATGAAACGAAACAAAATAAAATGCATAAAACAAACCAAAATAAATAAACCGCAATTTGACTAGATGTAACCACGATGTGGCTAGGATGACCACGACGTGGTTGCAGCTCAGAGAGAAAAATAAAATAAAATAATCGGAGAAGGATAAATTTTTATGGTTTTTACCCCATAAAAAGGATCTAATAACTAAAAGAAACTAAACTAAAAATCAAAAAAGCATTTCCACGTAAACGACTCCAAAAAATTTAGTGTGCACAATAGTACCTACTTATTTTAAACTTATAGCCAAACTAACTTAACTAATATGTTCACCTCTAGTCAGGTAGCTAGTCAGATTGTAGAATAGCTTTTCGTAAGTCGGGTGTCAAATAAAAGAAACCAAATTTAATTAATTAATGTAACTACTACTAGTTAAACTAGTAAACAAACTTAATTTGGGTTTTTTTTTTACTGATTTTGCAAAAATAGAAGAACTTAAATTAGATTATCAAATTACCAACTAATCAAACTAAGAAACACAAATTCACTTCAAGATTAATAAGTACCTCTATTCAGTTTCGATGTCACCTTCTCCTATGGTTGATTTCTAGTGCATAGAGTATATTTTTTTACCAATTTGTTAACTAACAATTATGATCAAATATCTAGACATACCACTTTATGAATTACCATGCAATGATCAAGCATAAGTTAAACACCAAACCGATAATGAGCACATATTAGACTACGCATGATAGTAGTTACTTTCCTATGATCATGTTATGCAACCAGGCACAAATTAAGATTAATTATGCTCTCTAACACAACTAAAATTAATAGATTTACTTACTTTATCTAAGATGTTATTAATCCTAGCTCTAATTATTTAATGACCATCAAAAATAAGGTGACAAGTTCATGTAATTATAATGATCAACTATCACACGAAAACTTGAGTATTAAGAAATAAAAACTAGAAGTAAAACATGTTAGGGTTTCAATTATCAAATACACGCAAAATCAACATATAATATCCACAAATTGTATGCAAAAAATAACGATTAGGTTCATCTTCACCAAGAAGAAGTATAAGGTTTTTAGCCTCTCATGCTACTAAAGAAAACACACAAAATCCATGCAAATACGAATTCACATGAGTATGTTTTGCAAACCAAATGGTCTATGTAGAATTCTTCTAAATCTTCTTTAACTCTTGAGCACTATTTGTTCTTGATCTTCTTCTAAGTTTCTAGAGAGTTTTAGTCGCAATTATCCTCAAAAAAATCGGCTAGAGATCCCGCCATTCGACCTAATGAATGGATATATATATATATATATATATATATATATATATATATATATAATTGCCTAAAATCTGATCACCACGACATGGTTAACTGTCACACAATGTGGTCTTCATGAATATCACGTATTCTCTGAGTCAACTTATTGGTCGAGAAACTTCCATTCTGATGTTGTGGTGACCATCACCATGTCGTGGTCTTTTGTCTTGAAGCCTTCTTTGTCTGCTTTTTTCCTTAGCTCACATTGTCCTTCTTCTAGCTCCTTGTCTCCTTCCTTTTTATCTCGAGCATGTCTTTTCTGCTACAAACCATATTTCAAACTTAATAAGTACCTTTTTTTTCAAAAAAAACCTTAATTGTAGCTAAAAGTATTAAGATAGTGTATGAAATATATAGTTAAATATGCACATATGAAAATACCCCACACTTGGCCTTTGTTTTCCCTCAAGCAAAACTAATTTTATTATCATACCATCACATTAAAACCCTAGCTACCAATATCACACAAGACAATGCATTTTAAGCCTCTCCATTACATCAAGACCGCAATGCATGTATTTGTTTCTAATTATTCCTAAGAACTTCCCAATACAAAATGCTCTCAATCTTCATAAACACTTCCCTACTTCTTTTGTACAACATTCATTTTATGCATCCCTCCAAATCCATCCCCATAAAACTTTCTTAACCTCAAGGTACTTTTTTTTAAGCCCCCAAGCATACATATGGAAAAATAACCTTAAAATAAAAATTACAATATAATTTGGCAAATTTCCTTATTCTTGAGTCTTCAACTTTTAAAATTTCTTTATGATATTTCTCGATCTTCATGCTTTGTATACTCTTGTTCTCTCAAACTTGATCAATTTATTTTCTTTTTCTATTTTTTTTCTATTTTTTTCTTTTTTATCACTCAAAACTAAAACCTAAAACAATGTATGTTTAAGAAAGGGAATTTAACTTCAACCCTTATTGGTTAGAGGTATTAGCCTAAGGTTTAATGACCACATAATCTCTCCTTGATACATTTCTGTTACATGATTCTAAACCTATTATGTCCCTCAAATTAAGTAAGGTCGTTTTTTTCTTCCATGCTTTCACTAGGACAGGGAAGCCACAAATACACTAGAACATATATATGCTAAAATAAGCATCAAAACTCGCATTGTATATTCCCACACAATACTAGCAACCTAGCTCTCAACAAAACAATAAAACAATTTTATAACAATATTCACTTTTGAGATTATTATTTCAAATCATTCAAAAAATTTAAAATTTATAGTTATTTTCATTTTTTTAATTTTTATCAGTTTCTTTGCATTTCTATATTCGACCCCCTACCCCACACATAATAGTTGTAATATTCCCATTGCAAACTTAAGCAAAAAAATAACATAAAGCAAGGAGTAGAAAGTTGGTTATGCATTGATTGTACGAAAAACGCATTGGTAACTCGATGTTATAAATCGCGCTCTTGTGTGTAATTCAATGAGTGGTAGAACAAACATATGAGTCGAAGTTTATCTGTTCCTTCTTGGATTAGAAGCTGATAGCTAGGCCCCTCGATGATTTTGTTTTGACCCATGTACCGGGCCCGGTCAGAACTAAGTTGATGTGTTCAATTAAGTTCTTTGTCATACAAATCGGAAATCGGGAAAGAAACTGTTGGACAATAAGTAAGACATTGTTCCATGTATTTGTCCGACTGATATCTAGAACAGAGGATTATATGATCACTTATCTTAAATGGCGTACCATCATCTTCTCAATTCCGAGAAACCTTGTAAAGAGCTACAATTGTCGATCGGTTCCTGAAGTCATACTTGCAGTAATAGTTATTAGACTTATCCAAGTGGGAGATTGTTGGATAAGGTGTCTAAGTCCATAACTATTTCTGGTATGTACTTGACCCGACCCGGCATGGTTCATATGGGTTGCATGGCACCATGCAATTGGATAGACTAAATGAGAGAAATAACACTTGGAGATTGTTAATATATTATAAGTTCTAATATATTAATAATATTATTTGATTAGTTTGATCAAGAATTAATTTAGAATTAATTATGTGATCAAAAGATAACTAATTAAATATATGGGTTGATTATGTAAATCATCCATATCTTGTATAGTGGGCTAAGAGGCTCCATGGATTATCAAGTTGGGTTCCACCCATAGGATGCTCCATGGATGCTCCATGGGAGTTACAAACCCATGGGTCATGGAAATGAAGAGTCATGACACATTAGGGTTTAACCCTAGATGTGTCAACACTATATAAGAAACATATTCTCCACCAAAATCGACTACACTAAGAAACAAGAGGGCTTGGCCGATTTTTGAGAAGTGTGTGTTCTCTCATAAGTTCTTC